GTGACTCTGGGTCGCGGTCTTGAGGCTGTCGATAGTCGAGACGGTAAAAGTTTTGAGTAACTCTGTCGACAATACATGATTCATCATCAGGAAGGGAGATGACGCTGCTAGAAGATTCCTGTGTGCTTATATCAGCTCAAGCAACTTTGCTAAGAAAGCAGAGAGCGTACGGTAAGAGGATGACGGCTTACTGCTGCGAAGAATTCGGGCCGCGGACAGACGATAGCGCGGTGGACGGAATTTGGAGTTAGAGGATATCGTTAGTCCGAGTAGATTCCAGTCGAGTAGAGGCTAGTGCAGTGTAGGCACAACACTGAACAGAGAGATAGCTAGAAGGTGAGGATCGCCTTTCTAGGAATTCATAGAGGTCTGTCTATGGTCAACCAGCGGATATCATCGCGGGTTGGGTTGGGAGGGATTTGGTGGCGGGGGCGACGTCGAGCGCCGGTGGCGCGGGCTCTTGATGCGTAAAGAGCTCCGGGAAGGCTCTGCGGGCGGAGTAGGAAGAGTCGAATACGATATCCTTCCGGAGGGATTGTGTCATGGTAATCAGGCGTTTGGTCGAGAAGTCGGGGACCCAAAGATTACGTCGGTGGACGAGAGATGTGATGGCCTTCTGCCGACGAAGCCGTGTAATATTAACCTCGGAGAAGACAGCTCGGCAATCGGGGTGATGGTAAACTCTGATTCTTTCGGATCTTGAAGGTTCTACGTACACAATGAGGTTCTGGTTGTTTTTGGGTGGCATGTCTGCTGTAGGGACTCGTTCGAAGCGAGAGAGCCTATTGCTGGGTTGATTGATGGGTTTGGAAAAACCACACCAGAGCTGGACCTGCTAGGTGGGGCATAGGGAGAAACAGTTGCCTCGCTGACACTACCGAACGAATGCCACTGGACCACCAGGTCTTGATGGAAAATACCAAAATAACGAATGGCCTATTAATAAATAATCACTATTCTTTACGATCCGAAGTAAACAAACAATCCTTCTGTCAAAAGGGGTGATAGGCCTAAAGGCGCTGGTAGCGATGCACGCGTAGAGCCGGCCGGGAGGGCGCTAGGAGAAATGTTCGGCCGAAGACCGCACTAGATGCGCCTAAGGGCCGCGCTAGAGGCGCTTAGTCACAGGGAACATGCCGAGATAAGAAGCGCAAGGGAGGAGCACTAGTCTCAAAAAGAAGAACAATACACATGATTGGTGGACCCTTACATCATGTCCATATACGATTTCCGACACCTTCCTCCCTTTCGGTCCATCAACTGCTGAATGACGCCAGTACATATGACCCATAAAAAGAACCCGTTTTTCCCCCTCACCACATCAGTAGTTACATAACCACATTTATCATTGTCATCAGTGATATGATGGATTCTGACGATTCTGACGTTTCTACGGGCTCTGCGAAGTCATGTATCATCGCATTACTGCCCGAAGACCTCGCTGCCGCGTGTACTGCCGACTGTACGCCGGAGCGGTGCGATAATGCCACCGTCCGGCCCCGAGGACCTCCGGAGGTTGTATACGGCGTACCCGGAGGCTTCCTACCCTTCGAGGTGCCGCACCGGGACGCCGAAATCCAGCTGTTGCCAGCCCGGCCGTTAGATGTCGTCTTCCGATACGCCCCCCGAGATCTCGTTGAGCATTAGGCCGAGTGGACGAACGAGGCGCCGATGGCGGCGAAGTTAGTGCCACCACAAGAGCACTTCAGAACTATAAAGTGGCGCGAGACTTCTGCCAACGAAATCTACCCCTTCCTAGGTATTTTGATTTATATGGGAATCCATCCCGAACTACAATTAGAGAAATACTGGTCTATATATCAGAAGAAGTACGACCCCATTCACATATTTACTCGTTATATATCTAGGGACCGCTTCCTCCTACTCCTCCGACGTCTACATATCTTCGACACCGCCAAAACGCCGACTCCGAACCTCCTCCGCGACGCGGCCGGCGCCAAGGCCGCGAGGACTGTATGCCGAAGGTCTACCGGCAAGTTAATGAGTGGTCGGCGCATATTAAAGAAACCGGCGATGCCTTCTACCGGCCCAGCTCCGACTTGACCATCGACGAGGCTATGGTCCGGTTTACGGACCGATCTCTCGAGACGACATCGATACCGACGAAGCCGATCCCGAAAGGCTTCAAGATATGGATCCTAGCCCAAATGGGATACTGCCTCCGGTGGCTATGGCATGTGCACGGCGACGGCCCGTACGGACTTGTGCCATAGGCCCGGCCGAAACCCGGCGATGCGGCGGCCCGGGAGACGATGTTGACGCCGACGCAACGCGTAGTAACGACTCTACTTGTGATGCTCCCATTGGCCGTTTACCACGTACCCCTCGATAATCTATTCGCTTCGGTGAAGCTCTTCCGGGCACTCCGGCGTCAGAATATCGGCGCCTCGGGCACTTGCCGGAGGGACGCCGGGATGGATGATATCCTCGTAGCCGAAAAGGGGGACGAGGGCAAGGGTATCCCATGGGGTACTGTACATGCGATCCCTCCAGTTGACGGGCAGGTATGTTCCCATAAACAGCTTTTGCCGTTGCTATTCATACTGATCTGTTTATGGTTTCATTCTGATGGATTAACCAGTTCACTTGGAAGAATAATGCCCTGGTCCTCTTCCTAACTACCGTCTTCCGGGATACCTCCGAGATCATCCGGAGCCGCCGGCGCCCTGCCGGCGACTTGGCCGCGAAACGCACCGCCCGCGAAGTCTTCGGCCCCGATGCCCGGAAGGATCTCGCGATACCCACGGCGATCGATAAGTATAACCACCGAATGAACGGCGTCGATACGAGCGACCAGATGAGGTCATATTATTCATACGAGAGACCAATCAGAAGAGGGGGCTGGCAAGCGACTGCTTGGAACTCCTTGCTCGAAGTGATCGTTGTGAATACCTCCTTTTTGCAGCTATGGGGTGAGCCGGCTTGGAGACGTGAGTCGAGCCAGTACGAATGGCGCCGACTACTGTCTACCCAGCTAATTTAGCACTTTGGACCACAGGCAGAGGCTCGTCAGAAGTCTCAACCCCATAGGGCTACAGATCAACGTAATGAGGTTCTTGAGTGGCATCATCACTTACGAGGTAGGAGGAGGGTTAATTCGCCCTGTGTGGCGTGTAGTAAGGTATCGATAATGAAGGAGCGCCAGCCTCTTGTTGAGATCTCTGGGAATACCCTCACGCAGCGGCGGCGCCATAAGTACTCTAGATGGGGCTGTATTACTTGTGATGTTGCTCTATGTAGCGAGGGCGATTATTGGTACAACTTCCACACCCAGAATCTCTAGTTACTATTAAATACCGATTATCAATTTTGATAATTAGCTGGAAAAAGGGGTCCGAACTGCCCCGACTGGCTACTACTTCGCACGCAGATGTGCTGGCGTCATTCAGCAGTTGATGGGACATGTCAGAACGACAGCGTGGCTACCAGCGAGTAAAGGCATAACTGTCTTGATTGTTGTAAAGGGTTAGTGGCCAATTGGCCGGATCCATCGAGATATGGGGATCGCCATTGTCGACATCCTTAAATGGGCAATTTCTGAGACTTTCACCGACCTTCGCCACGGTATCTGGCTGTGGGCGAACCAGGGACGACGGTATCACGAGCACAAGATCCTGTGGAAAGAAGCTGAAGCGGGTGGACCAACCAAATTAGACACCGGACACGCGGAAAGATTCCTCGAGGAAGAGGCCCAGACCCTCGAGACCAAATACAAGCCCAAGCCGCCCACCGAGGTGAAGACCGAAGGAGATTCCACCTCGTCAACCAAAACAAGCCACGATCCCATTACCGTGCGACTCCTCGAGCTCAACGGTCTCAACGAGGATTCGGTTACTTTCCGAGAAGAGCAGGAGCGTGAGCTTTCCCCTGAAATCGAGCAGGAGAGGCAGATCGAGAGATCGCCGCCTGCAACGCCCGCAAAACATTCTCTTCACCCAGATAGACGGCGTCTTGTACCCACGGAATCATCCCGGAGGACTCGAAAGCTTGCATGTCAGCGTGTAAGGCTCTGTCAGACACCACCGCCGCGCGGTACTTCGATGTGCGGAGGTCTCCTGGTGACGTCAGATTTTGTCCGTACCATCAAGCCATCCGGCAGAGATCACGTCCCGGACCTGTTCCAGAGATCCATCCAGTGGATCTTGGCACGCGCGTGAGGAACTGGCGTCATCGAGACGGCGATGGTCATCAGCCCGTACGAAGCCCAAGAACCCCCCTCCCGCGCGTCAAGGTATCGGATTCTGTGTCGTTGCACCTGTACTCCCCGCGGCCCAACATGGGTTTCCGGCCTTTTGACGCTCTGGATCTCTACACGATGCCGCATCGCGGCGTCTGTCCCACTCCCTCTCTGCCACTTTCCACCCAGCTGAATCTCTTCTCCGGTCAGTTGTACCGGAAGTCGATGGAGGAGTACTGCAGCACCCGCCAATTCCTGCGGCTCTCGTCCGAAGGTGATGGTCGTGAGTCGGGCGATCAGAGCGTTTCTGATGCTAACGTGGGTAACTACGCGTTTGTGCAGTTCGTGAAGGTTATCATGGCGAAAATACGGAGAAACTGTCAGTCGATTGATAAGACCCACGTCGGACGGATCCTGGAACACCAGGCCCTTGGGCCTTTGGATTCTGAGTGAAACTTAGAAAAGGGTTGCCTGTATAGTGCACATGTCTGCTGCCAATTTGTCTTCTTCCACACCCGATGCATTTCTGTGTCCAAGTCATGCGCTTGATAGTGAAGCTGCCAGACAGGCACGCTCCGCCAGCATCGTCGAGGCATTCGGCTAGCTCGCAAGTCAGTACTTTCCTAAACACCAGCACCGAGACGGACCACGAATACTCATTGACGGTGACGAGCTTGAGGTTGTTTTGCTTGGCCCAGTTGAACAGCCACGGCGTCAGTCAAGGCGGGCGCATGTAGGCCGGCTTCTTCCCGACGATGTTGAGCGCCTGCTCGAGCCGCCGCATCTCGGTCGTGAGCTGGGCCTAGCTAATGCTGCCGAAGTTCTGTGGTTGCGTCCAGTTGTGCGAGGCGATCTGGTGGCCCGAGTCGCAGGCCTTCTTGGCGCCGGCGCGCTGGTTGTAGATGCAGCCGTAGAGGGCATCGGCGAAGACGCGGGGCTTGGCGCACTTTTGTATCACGACGCCCGGGCTGGGGGCGCGCTTGATGAGCTCGAGGAGGTTCTCGATGGGGATTGCCGCGGCGAAGTTGGCCAGCAGCTGGGCGATAACGATGCTGTCGAGGAAGAGCGTTGTGTGACAGTGGTGATGTTTCCACGGGTACAAAGATCAGAGGAGTCCAAGTAAATGTTGGAGATACCAGACTTTGGGAAATAGTAAGTAGACACAATAGGAATGAACCTGGCTTCAAGCACGACTGTATATCTCTTGCTTGACTACGAGTGATAGACGATGGTGAGCCGACTGAGACAGCTTCAATCTCGTCGATCTATAGAACTAGAAGGAGCGGGAGAAGCTCCTTTGTGGGCGCACATGGGGCGCATAGCCAGGAAGACTCCCGACCGACAACGACAACCGATCTCAACCGCCTTGAAGCAGTGACCACGCTCTGTACCCGACCGGCGGCGACGACCTCGACCTCAAATGTCTCGAAGTCGCGACCGCCGCTTGGCCCGTCACCATCGTTGGCAGCGCTCGACAACAGCTTCAACAACGCCGCCGCTGGTCAGCCGCGACACGAGTCCCGCGCAGTCCCTTCTCGTCACCCTGAACTCTGCTCTGACGACTGCTGCGAGTGCCAGCGAATCCCATATGCGACGATTTGTATTGTGTCGCCGGTTCTCTCCTCCGCTGGCCGCCATTGACCACCAGTACCCAGATCTACCGTCATTTGCGAATCGAAAGCCACTTTGCCTTCCCTACTGGGATCGGGATCGGACTCGGGATCGGGCTCCTGAGCGTCGGGTGGACTACCTCAGTCGTTCCTCATCACGGTGGAAGCGGCGGCATGCGGTGGGAGTGCGACTGCTGCGCTTGACCTGGTGAGCAGGGTGGACAACAACGGAATCTCGGTCTCGCCTGCGACCTGGTTCGTGCTAGGTGGAATCGCCCGCCCTCTTGATCTTCCCGCCGGTCGATACGGCTCTCGGGCTCGGCCAGTCGGACATCGGCCTGTAGACGGCGCTCGTGCTTGGCGTCCTGCTGTGGGCGATCATCGTGTCGGTGTCGCTGGCGTGCTGACGATCCGAGTGCTGGTCGGGCGGGATGTATGCTGTAGGCACCTATTAGTGGGTGCATTGCTAGCTAGCGAAGCAAATGGCGCATTCTAGCCGTTTTGACAGTCGCTATTATGTTTGCTAGCGAAGATTTGCAGTGCACTTCCAACAGCCAATGATGAAGGACGTCGGATCATTCTCCACGTCCATCACGTCGACGTGTCTAGAGTGGTGACAGAGTGGGTCCTGTTCGTACCAGGCATGCTTCCAATCGCCTCACACGCGCGAAACTCAACTATGTTGAATCATTTGCTTCTCGCAGATAAGAGAATAATCAGGCTGCTCAGCGGTTTACTGTAGACGGTAGTATGGAAGAAGAGAGCAGTGACTTGCATTCCAGGGCGGAGCTGAGGAGGTTCAAGACCCTATCACTTGGGATTCAGCCGGAAGCGCCCAGGCAGCAAAGTAGGTGCCTGAGGTCATGGGTTCTTTTTAGAATCACGCCCGGGCGCAGAACTAGCCTTCCACCATCTGACGGCACATCCACCGTCCGAAACGGATTTGATCGGCTAGACTATGTTCCGTCCTGTCCGTTCATCGGAACGGTGCCCACCACTTTGGGTTGGCGAAGCCATCACGAATAACGCTGCCTCCGCTCCATCTAGATGGTTCCAGTGAGGGGGGTTCCAAAAGTGGGTGACTTGACTTAGCGATCTCCCAGATTCACCGGCTCCTTATCAATAGCATCACTGATAACAATCACTTCGTCCCTCTCGCCGCGTTCATAGAGGCGCAAATCCAACACAGATCAGCCAGCAACAAGGAGCTGTAGCGCCAGCATGCCGTGAGATTATGGCGGCATCAACAGAAGAGGAAACAGGTCGCATTGCCCGCGCAGACAAGGAAGCGACTCAGAAGAAGCAGGGGAGTTAAACAATGATATTGTGGTGGAAGCTTTGGGAGGAAAGGTAGATGGAACAAGGACGCAACTTCAAATGGAGGACGACTTCTCGATTACCCTACCCCCGCCCGTAACACTCAAAACCAACATATACAGCTGAGACTGAGGAGCGAGAAAAGCAGCCTAATAGAGGAATGGAAGTATTGACCACCTAATGCGCTCCGTGAAAATGCTACTTACTTATTTCCTTGTCGTCTTCTTGACCTGCTTACTCATGATCGCCCAGTGTTGAACTATAGCCTGTTCGCTTCGCTGCAATTTACCAGCAATCCAAGACCACTCTTTTCCCTCCTGAACCCATGCACGCAGACGTAATTCTTCCAAAGGTGTCCAACGGCGACGCTGAGGCCGTTTACCCTTTTCTTCAGGGCTATCTGAGCTGTCGCTACGATCAGAACTCAAGCTTTCACTTTCGCTGTCGCTGTCGCTGTCTTCTCTAGAGTTGTCGTCTGAACTTTCGTCATTTTTAACCATCTCAGGATTTGACAGCCCGACAGTTGACTCCGCTACATGTTCTTGGTTGCTGTTTCCCATGCTGGTTGTGCTGTGCGGAAGCTTCTTTGTGGCATAATCACTGATAAACCCAAGGAACAGCTGAAGCATGTCCAATGCCCTTTCACTGCTAACGCCACTCCCAATGAGAGCCTGGACGGTGTCACTCATCCGCAGCAAATGTTCTGCAGAAAAGCCACAGTTGTGACATGTGGTTGAGGATGGATCTGCTGTGGTGGCGACAGGTGGGAGGAGAGCTTGTCCGGACCTTTGGGGACTAGGCTCCCCTGAAGAGTGGTTGAGGCGAGGTGAAGTAACTTCCGGTGTAGTTCGCGATCGCCTCTGTAGTCTTCCCATCCGCTTCCCTCTTCTCAAAGCATGGTCCACGTCCAGTGCAGGTAGTCCATCAAGGTGCGGGTGGTCCTTATCACAGTCCATAGAGATAGCTGCGTGAGACCGTGCCTGTGTAGAGGAGTGCTGGAGTTGTCTGTCGCTTTGGGTTATGAGGCCTCTCTTGTCTGGCTGGTCTTTCAAGACTCGAGATGGTAGTGCGCGTAAAGTCCTCACTGGAAGAGCCTGTGATACAGTCCCCATGTTGGCATCTCGTGACCTGCGTCGTTTAGGCAAGCGACGATTGTGGCTTTCGCAGGTGTCTTCGATTGCCCCACAGCCTCGTTTCCTTCGGCTGGTGATGGTGTCACCACCTTGCTGTGAGACGGCGGTGTGATCTGAGGATGGAGTAGGAAGCGTGAAAACGTCTGTTTGAGGCTCTTCCACCATATCTAAGGAAGCGGCGGCAGCGTTGACGGAGAAACTGGTAATAGGGCTTGATGCGCATGACGGACTCCCCGTGGAGTCGGGCGCCACGGAGGTGCTTCTGGTGAGGATGTGTGATGTGGTGATCCCCGACGAATCTGGACTGGTAAGTTTGGGTCTTGGAACCGCTAACTGCTGAGGACATCTCTTACTCTTGGTGTCGTTATCATAAGAGCTGCCGTAATCATCTTTGGCTGAGCCGTTATTACCACAGCTTTCCCTAGTGTCGCTGCTCTCGCTCCTCTCTTTTGATCCAGCAATATCTGTGAATGTTTGTTTCAGTCTTAAATATATCCAGTTTGCGGTTTTGGTCACTCACCTGTGTTCATGTCGCCAAGACAACTTGTTAGGTGAAGTTGCTCAGTTGAACGTCTGACCAGGTCAGGAGCCAGGGGGTGTTCGCTTCGTGAAGAGGCAGTTGCCACTTCTTGCGAACTCGGTTCTGTGGGAGGCTGGGCTAGTACAGGAGTGTAAGTCGACCAGGATTCCGAAGACTTGATCTCATCTGGCAAGATGGGTTTCGTAATTTCCGCTGTGACACCACCGATGTCGGAGATCGGGGCAAAAGGCTCGGTCGTGTGTGCAATGTCACCCAGAGTATCGCTGTTATATAACTCAGCTGTGTCGAAGACCTCAATAAAGTTGAATTCGAGGTTGTCAATACCAGAAAAAGAGTTGGCAAGACCACCTGCTTATTGTAAGTTAATGCTTATTAGGATGTGATGTGGGCGTACCTGATGTGTAGCCTGAAGCCTGAGTCTCTGTCAAAATGAGAGCTCCGACATCTTGCTCGAGTGGTGTTGCGAGCACCGTGGACAAGTTCGCTGATGTTTGCTGGTGCTTTTGCGGCTCCTCGAGCTGGCGTTGACATTTCTGTCGTCTGCGCTCCTTCTGTTTACGCTCCTTTTCTTGGTAGAGCTTTGCAAAGGATTGCACGTCATGCGTTTTTTTGAAGTTGGGGTGAGCCATCCTATGAGGTTGAGTATGAGCAGTATGGAATCAGTCGGCTGCTGTAATAGGGGTAGAAGGAAGGCTTTATATAGGTTTTCTTTCGAGCCGAAGGCCCCATCTCTGGATACAACAGTCGGGTCAAACCACCCCTTCATCAAACCAGAGCGGAGCTTGCAGCTCCTACATCCGCAGTGAAAGCCAAACGTAATATCGCCAGGCCCCCCGTTTCATAGCAACGCCGCTGCCCTGCCGTGTCGTTTTCTCTATGCCTCGGCGATGCCCCTGACGCGCTGGCGGCGCTTTCCCTCTCTTCTGAAATACGCCAACGATTGATCATGGACGCAGTAGCTTGCAGCCCTGGGTCCTTGGCCAAGTCCCATAAGCCACGTCACCAACTTCAGAGCAAACCAGGCCCGGTCCTAGCGGCACAAATCATAGTTGGCGTAGCAAGACAGGCACCCATCCATCGATGCAAACTCTCGGACTTGTAGTTGCACCGAGGGAGGCTAGTCTGGCTGAACCCGACCCTCCATCGAGCTCGGCCAACCTGTCAGCTGGCCTAACGATCGCCCCCTTGACATGGGGGAGAGAGGTCATCTGCTGCTTCTCCTGGGAAGTGTGCCGTGACTCTCCAGGGCCAAGGGCACGATCCGTTGGGAATGGTACCTCGGAAGCCGTACGACAGTCTCATACTATTGGGATGAGGCAGCCTTTGTGGCGGAGCTGTTGATCGTCTTGGGAATATTGCGCCGGCACTTCGAGCTGTGCTCGAGCTTCGTGGCAACCTCCGTCTCGTATATGCAAGGTGATATATCTTAGCACCCCTTTGTGGGAGGCAAACCAGGCAGACTCGAACGGCATGGTTGAGATGAGAATTGCCTCTTCAGGCAATTTTGTGGCTTAGGAAGCCAGCTTAGCGGCTACCCAATGCGCCGGCGTAACACCTGACCGTCCATTTTGCTGGGTATCGATCTATGAACGTCCAGGTTCAAGGGCCGGCAGTCCTGCCCACGGCTTGGAAGCATTCCAATGGGGTAATCTCGTTGGCGAGCCCCTGCTCCTCATCTTGCGAGAGTGCTGCGAGAAATGTGATCCCGACCAGTGGAAGACAGCATATCAGGGCGAGCTCTGCGACTCCTTGCGGCAGTTTCCGAATTGTTGTACACTGGCTCACATGCTGCCAGCATCAGTCGATTCTCGGGGTCTCGGATAGAAGACTTCTTTGCGAACCATATCCCAGGTCTGGGTCGACGTTACATGAGCCAAGCCACTGAAAAGCAGGCTATCTCGAGGATGACGTGTCCAGCCTGTCGTTCAACAGCGGAGCCGCGGGGCGTACATGGCCAGGCTGGCGTGCTTTATTTGAGGCTGTCATCGTCGGTGGCACTTCGCCAGGGGTAGGTGAGCCGGACGCCCAGGCTACAGTCGAGACGTGAATTACCCAACAAGGGAATTTTGTTAGCATAAGCCATTGTAGCCCCTGAACAATGCGTCCCTGAAGCCCAGGGAGGCCTCAGCGAGGCGGACTTTATCCTTTCTCGACCACCAGCCTAGCTGGGTGCCTATCTCTGCGACATGTGGCGTTTCTCGCCCTCTTTGCCAACTCTCAACCGCTGGCAAGGTTGAAGGCTTGGAAATTACTAAAGACGGTAATTCCTCAGTCAAGCCCTGCCTCCCTACGCCCGAGGATGGACTGTCAGGGATATCACCGCGGGCGCTCGTCATAATGCCTGATGCAGCACCTCACACCACCGCTGCATGGTTGCATGATCCCGTACCGCATCCCACGACCCCTGCTGAGTTGTCAAATTACCAGAAGAGGTAATTTTGGGTCTGAGGGAAGGCGAGGCACCCGCGGCTTCACTCCTGGGCGGCTGTAACGGAGCAGTCGCGAGAACTGAGGTGGCACCTCGGACCAGCGTTGGCCTGTTGTATGGTTCCGTAGCTCATCCTATGATCCCCCCTGAGTCCTCAAATTACCAGAAGAGGCCATTTTGGGTCGGAGGGTAAGGCGAGGTGGGCATGGACGGACGGTAAGGGGAACCCTCGAGAACGGGCGACGGACCCGCTAGGCGTTCCCTCGGGTACTTGGGAATTGTCGACATCGACAATGCACAGAATCGAGAAGGCGCAAGGCAGCAGACGAGGGTAGACCAGATTACCATAAACGGCAATACACTGAGGAAATTAGCAACACTGTTCCAGCAGGAGAACACCGGAGCCTACTGTGCAGGGCACGCTGCACCTGGCATCGGCATAACGGGTGGAGGTAACGGAAAAGAGATACCTTGACCATCCAAGCACCGGCATTAACTGGTGTTGGGAAAAGCTGGTGGTTTATCGTGTGGTTTATTATCGCGAGTGGGAGTTAAATGGACGTTGACGAAGGGCGAACGTTGTGGTAGAATGTGGATGTGGCTGAGGCGGGCGGAAGGAACATGAGAGTGGCGCAGGGCAAAGCTGCGAGAAGGAAAAGATACAAAGGGAACTTCGAGGTACATCTGCGCGTTGGGCGGGGCAGGCGCTCATTTATGGGACGGCAAAAACAGCGAGGGATGGCATGGCCGAGAATTACCCGATGTGGCAGGTGCCGAAAATGGCAAGTCAGGACCGCCGTTTCCGAAGGCAGGCAAGCCGTCTCATGTTTTACTGTATTTAAACAAATAATTTTATTAATTCATATGTTATATAATATTTAAAAAGCTAAATCTATTATTTAGTTTATATCTTCTATTTATTAAAGGTTTAATATTTATTTTTACACTAAATTAAAAACGATTTTAGTAATATTTATAAAGGTATAGCTATTATTAACTAAAGTATTAATTTTATTATCTATATTAAGATCTTCTTAAATATAATAAGTTTCTAAGTCTAACTATTTTAGTTAGTTATATCTAGTAAATCTTTAGTTTTTTATACTATTTTATAAATTATTTTAAAGTTATATATTTTTCTGGTTATAATTATTATATTTTAGCTAAGAAGTATAGATGTGAAAGGCTTAATCTTAATATTATCAACAAAGCTATTTTTATTCTTATTATTAAAAGCTATATAAAAATTAGAAACTTTCTCTTTATTTAAAATTATTCTAAAATATTTCTTTTTAGATTTTAAACTTAAAATATAGTTAATTATAATTATTGTTTTTAATTAATATTAAATTAGTTTATATTGTTTCTCTATAAGAGTAAGATATTCTTTAATTATATTATTAATGTTTAGTTTATTAAGAAATCTCTAAAGCTCTAAATGAAAATTATTATAAAAGATTATTAATAGTTAAATAGTAATTAATATAAAGCTTATTGAGAACTATTTATATTTAAAATAGTTTTAACAGAAATATAGAGGTTTATATTACTAATAAGGTTTTCTATAGTAAACTTATATTTCTAAATTTAATTAATAAACTCTCTCTAAAATGAAGTGAAATACTTATGAATAATATCTTAGAAATTATAATATCTTTTCTTAAAATAATACTATAATTTCTTTTATTCTAAGTAATATTCTTATTAGCTTAAAGTGTTTCTATAAAATAGTTAGTTCTAATACCTTATAATCTCTATTTCTATACTTAAAATATAAAGTTTTATATTTAAACTAAAAATCTAAATATTTAACTTTTTATAATAAGAAATATATTATTTATAAAATATTAGTTTAATACTCTATTTGTATTAGCTTTTACTTAAAAAATGTTATATTACTATAGGATTCAGTTTAGCTATAATAAATTTATTATTTAAAATTATTATTCAACTAAACTAAATATCTTATTAAGTTTTATTAAGATTTAAAATAGTATTAATTTTAGGTTAGATATTTTAGATAGCTAGTTAGAAGTTTTTAGTGAGAATGTTTGTTATAATAAAGTAGACATCTATAGAGAGTATAAATATTTTATTAGTTACTATTACTTTAGCTATGATAATAGCTAAATTAGTGTTAATATTAAGTTTATTAGTTTTTTATAAAACTAAAAGTAGTTTAGATATAATATATAATAGGATTTGTTTTTAAGAGGTTACTAAAAGCTAAGATTATACGGTTTTATAGTTTTTTTACTATTTCTAACTATTTCTCTATTAATTTCTTATTAATAAGAAAATTCTATAATAAAAACTAATAAAAAGCTAGCTTATAATTTAAGGTTGTTTCCTTTTTTTCTACTAAATCTCTCTCTTAAGTTATAGAATTTGACTAATACTAATAGTAATTTATTTTTTAAAGTTATAAATTAACATAACATATATATTTTATTAATAGCTATACACAAAATAAATTTATTATTATATATAAGATTATTTTCCTCTTAAGAAGTTAGAATAAAACATACTTTTAATATTAGTAATTATTATATAATAGAAATAATCTTAAGTATATTATTAGTACTTATAATATAATTAGACTAATAAAGCGTTTATTTATATTCTAAATAAACTCTTTTCTTTACACTTTACAATTTATATTAATAAAAAAAGCGTTATTACTATCCTAATTAATAAGGTATAAGATTACAATTTAATTATAAAATCTCTTATTAAAGCTAATAATATATTAATAGTTATGATACTTTTAGTAGAAAGTTTATAACCTCTTAGCTATTACTTAATATTTTAGGTTTAATATTATAGCTTTTTCTAATAGTTAATTTTCTAGAAAGGAATTCTTATTACTAAAAGAAGAGGTATTATTAGAAAATAGTGAAGTTAAAGAATTTAAATAGTTAGCTATAAATATTAAGTACTAAGCGTTATTTTCTATAAGCTTTGTTTTCCTCTTACTATTTCTTTTTATAAATTATATTAAAAAACCTAATACTATAGTGAAATTCAAAACTTATACTTTAAAGTTAAATATTAGTCTAAAGATTATTCTATAATATTTATACTATCTTTTTATAACTATTATTAAGGATAACAGTAAAGTTATAGAGAAAAAGGGTTATATAAGAGAAAAAGATATTAGGTTATACTACAAATTATCATAGCCTTTCTACTAGCTATAAG